CCTTTCCTGCATCCTCAACTAGTTAGTTTTTGGAATGAACCCCCTGTTGGTTTTATATACTAATTTACATTCTAATAAAATTTTAGATAGGATCTTAAAATTTGAGAATACCATTTCAAACCTCTGGTGGGGAAAATGCCCTATGCCTTACATAGGATACATTAATACTGGATTTGTTGAAGGCCTCTATATATCACTTATGTATCATATATAACATTAAATGTCATGACACAAAATTCTTTTAAAATAGCTGTTCTACATGTTTTGAAGCAATGTTCGCTACAACTCAGTTTTTCTGGCTATATTGTTACAGAGAATGCCAGAGTGCAGTTTGAAATTTTAAGAATAGTATCTGGATTATAAGAGTTCAAAATAAAGAGTAGAACAATTTAAGCACCATGAAAAAAGCTCTAATTTTGTTGAAATTGTGAGGAAAAAGGAGCTAGGCTCATTATATGAGGCTAGATAATACAATTGTCACAGAAGACAAAATCGATCTTTTTGAGTACAAATTTAGTGACTTTTTTTCCCTCATTGAAAATATTCAATTGAAATATTCCAAAATGAATTTAAGTTTTAGAAAAAAAAAATTCTTACTAAGGCACTGAAAGAAGTTTCAAAAATGAATCAGTTATTCATAGTTGGGAAAATATAATGAATCAAAGAATTAATAAAAGACTATGATGATTAAAGTGAGGAAAGTTGGAATTCTGATGCATATTCCCCACATGACAATTCATGAGAGAAATTATTTAAAGAAATAGTTTGTGAGCAAATAGAAATAACAACATTGTGACTGGGAGCCAACAAAATTCTGATGTAAATGACTTATGATTAATTAGCCCCTTTTTGTCTTTTGTTCGTGATATGCAACTTACTGGACTGATGCAGATTTAGAAAGACTGCAGTAGTCTTGTATGATGACCTTGCAAACCAAATGGATGAAAGAGAACATAATGATGATAGATTAGTTGGTTGAATTTAAGTGATTGAACAATTGTCAAAGATTATTGTTAATAAATTGATGTAACTTTAGCAGCTTATAACTTGTCTCTTCAATGTTTTTCTTAGTGATAGTGTAAAGAGGAGATTGTTTACACATGTATCCAATAGAAATATGATGTATGAAAGAAAAGGGTAAAATACGTGGATTAGGAGAAATGTACAGAGGAACATCTCTAGTGGAGCTTATAAAAATCCATTTCATCCTTGGAAAATCACAACTTAGAAAGTTTTTATTTATGTTCAATCAACATTTATTTTCTCACTTTTCCTTATTTTTCTTGGTTCTCTTTTTTGAAGGCTATAAGGAATGTTGAGCCTTTTTTTCTAAATGAAAGCTATTGAATTATTTGAAGGCACTCATGATCGTTCCCACTTTGCCTTGGTAAAATCCTCAATTTTTCAGTTACTTATTAAATGACATGATTCTAAATTTTTATGTAATATTTCTTATTACACATTGGCCATAAAATATTTTTGTATACTTTATCACAACTCATTCCAGGACTACAAATAAAATAAGAACTATTATATGATAAAGTTAGAATGTTGTATGATTATAATCTCCTTCATCTGAGGTTCTGTTTTCTGTTACCATAGCTTGAACACATACCAGAAAGTTGTTCTCCAATGACATTATTTTCAATTCAATTGTCCAATGCATTTTTAAATATATACTTATTCTAAACCACAGTTTATCTAATTTATAATATGAATGTGCAAGTCCTAAGCTAAATTCTTATAACTTTACATTATACTTAGCAGTCTAATATCAAAATATGAATATTATATCATTTGTACAAAAACTATAGTATAGGCAGAATGTGACCCAGAAACAAAGCTAAAATCATTTGGTTTTGCAAATTGACTTATATGCTACATTATCTAATTTACTTTAAATAAAATTTTTATTCTATACATGATAAAACTGAGACACAAGGAGGATCAAAAAGCTTGACAATGTTTACATTAATACTAAGAATCAAATAAATGGTTATTTTTGTCTGCTTCCAATTTATGAACTTGTTGCAAAAATATTTTGTTTACTCAGAGTATGTTGTCCATCTTTATGAAAAATATTAAGGTCAAATTTTATTGTCAAGATTTTATTGCTTTGAAACAAATATACAATTATTCATCAGATAATGCAAATTTGTGAGTTTCATACACTGTGACATTCAAAATAGATTCCTTTGAAAGGAATTAGTGAAAATGTACCCACTGACACGAATATGGACATCTGTATTTATTTACACCAGGTTAATCTTGATTAGAAAATATTAAAATAATAAAACAAAGCTTATGTGTTGTTTAATTTTATTTTCATTGCTAAGCTTGATGGTACACAAAAAAACTGCAGTGCCGCCTACATGGCCAGGTTTTTTTGCCAATAAATTCATACAATGCCAAGAAAGCTGAAGAACCATCTTTTATTTATCCTTCCTGAAAATGTATCAATTATGTAGCATGTTTTAATGAGAAGCATCAATTTGAAAAGGCTACAACTTAATCAAAACTTGAATTGGTCTCAACACAAAAGCCTGGTCTTGAAGCATCCTGCAGAATTGCTTATCACATTGCTAGGAGAAAGAATGCATACATATCAGAAAGCTTTGGTGAAGCCATATGCCCTGGAAATGTCAGCTTGATTTATGAGGAAGCAAACTATATCAATGCCTCTATAACAAGACATCATTTTCTTCAGAGTCGCTGATATTCTTTTACCATTTTAAAGCAGATTATGGAGGAATTGGCAGCTGTTATTTCCCTTCAACATATAACCAGATTCAACAGTTGCTGTTGTACTTTCAGTACAATCAGCTCTATGTGCAAGCATCAAATATCAACGAAGAATTCTATGAGCCCTTTTGCAAACTCAGTATCTTCAGATGGCGAACAATTTCTATGCCAAGCCAGACTTCAACTGGAAAAGAAAATCTTGTTACTCTGCATAGATGGAGCACCTGCAGTTTTTGGCAACACATGTGAATTTGCAATTTTAGGGAACAAAGAAGTTCACTAGGCATCATTGTGACTCATTGGTTTCTATATTTGTGAATACTTGCATCAAAAACTTTGCCAGCCATCCAAACAAATTCTTTTTCCTTGCCCTGACAGTTGTCAGTTTCATCAGAGACGGGAGTTTGAATAATCAGATTTACAAGAGGTATATTTTTAAATTATGAAATGAAATATACAGTGTGAAGTTCTTATTTACTACATCAATGAACACTGGCTTTTAGTGGATTTGTTGCAAAGAGATTGATTCGATTTTAGACATTTAAGAGAAATTAATTGCCCTTTTTTTTTATTGTTGGCTAAGGTTAAGTTTGTGTACACATAAGAGAAAAAACATAGAAGTTTATAGTCCCTCTTACATGAAGGGAGTCCACACATAGACAGTCCAGACAGGTGTGGCATTTCCATTGAGAATCTAGGCTTTTGTCTTTCTGCTTTACCACCTTAGTCCATTATTTCTATCCTCACAGCTACCTCGTAAGTCAAGATGGATGCTTCATGTCTGAGTTCAGCCTCTAAGAAAGATGAAAGACAAATGGGTAAAAAAAGTTTTCTTCAGCTATTTTTAGGTAACTTTCTTAGAAGTCTCACACAACATACATGTTTATATATCATGGTCCAAAACTTAGTCATATGACTATATATCCAAGGTATTAAGAAGACTGGAAAATCTAATCTGACTTATATGACATAATGTATCTAGAAAAATAGATATCTGTTACTAAGGACGAGAAGAGGAACTGGAAGTTGGATTAAACAATTTAGTAGAATACATTTCTTCTTAGCTTGACTTAATGTATGTATATTTTAGTGGAATGAATGAGGTAATAGTTTTCATTTGAGACACTGCAGTCTTTGTTATAAGTATTACAAAGAAAAAGGTATGCATAGAGAACTTGTGGGCCCCACTGTAATATGAATATGTAGGGCCTCTTGTTCAAAAGGCAGGAAAAAAGCTTTGTGTTTTCTTCTGCAGTCATTCTCTTGAAATGTCTAAATTATTCTAAAAGTTCTCGATTATTTAGAAGGGATCAAGCTAATTTTCTATAAATTCTGTATTATCTATAAAGACTTCTGTAGTCCTGATGCATTATCTTCTTTGTTTTCCCCTGCACATTACAGAATAGCCTGGCAATTAAGTTTCTTGACTATGAAATCAGATAGACTTGAGATAATGCTGGCTCTACTACTTACTTACTAGTTTTACATTCTTGGAGAAGTTATCTACCTTCTATAAGTCACGGGTACATTGCACCTCTTCTAGTAAGGAAGAATATTATAACCTAGCTCATCAAATTTTGAAGCTCAGTAAAGGTATCCCGTGCATTGTTAACATGTGAAATGTTACCTGTTAGTATACGAATACAAATTTTAGGACATATAGAACAGCATGAATAAGAGTGTCATTTATTTTTAACCAGGAAAAGTACTGTTCACCTTCTGGTTTATCTGCTACATGAACTTGTAAAACACACACACACACACACAAACACACATGGACCATATCTTATATACTGTATTATAAACTGCCTTTCTTTCTTAAGATATGTCAGGTACATTTCTCAGGTTGACTAAATATTATGTAGAAGACATGCTTATCAGTACACACTATTACATGATATAGATGTACTATAATGTAACTAACAGACATTTAATCTGTTTCCACACATAAATTTGTATACATTGTAATATATATACCTCTGAGATGAACATCATTGTATATAAGGCAAAATCTGAGGAGTGGAATCGGAAGCTTAATGGGAGTGAGCATATTAAAATCTTTTGAAACATTGTGCCAAATTGATCTCCAGTGTTGAACAGAAGAATGATATAATCTCTCATTTTAAAAAACTTACTCCAGTTGCTGTGTAGAAATAGGAGGGCAAGGGAGGAAGTAGGGATGTGAGTTAGAATAGCGCTTATCAATCTTTAATGTGCCTGTGATCACATGTGACCCTGCATGTCCAACAATCTCCCAGGTGATGCTGATGCTGCCTGCTGGTCTGCGGATTGTGATTTGAGTGGCAAGAAGTTAAAGGACAGTTTCAGTAATTGAGATGAGAGACCGTGGTGGCTTAGATCAGACATAGCAAAGGTGGTGTGGGTGTTCAAATGGATTTCGAAGGTAAGGCTCACAATACTAAGAGAAGACTGAATGCTATCTCTTCAGTCTTTGATCTGAGCTGCTGGAGGAATGGAAGTGCTGTTAATGGAGATCGAGAACAAGGTGGGAGGAAGAGTTGGAAGGGGTAAAAGGTAGAGTTTTAATTTTTCTCATATCAAATTTGAGTTGCCCAGTAGGCATCTAGGTTGAAATTTTAAGTAGAATCTGAAAATGTAAGTGCAGAATTCAGGGAAGAGGTTCAAGGTATATACATTTGGGACTTTATCATGCTACAAATATGTGCCTGTCTTAAAAGATGTATGTAAACAGTGGCAATAAAAATGTTGTAATTGGGCTTCTCAAATTTGTGTTTGTATGTGTGTGTGTGTGTTTGTGTACACATATGCATGTGTGCAGTATCATGACAAGAGTTAGATGGTAAAATTTCCTGAGAGCTAAGCTGTTATGTTTAACTTCATCAATATATTAAAAAAGAGAGAGAGAGAGATAATTTTTAATGATATTTTTTGTTCATTTTATTTAGAAAAAGGGATGACTACATGTAGCCTAGGATATTTTTTCAGGATATCCTAAAGAAATACATGTGGCATACCATAGAGGTTAAGACATTGTATTTTGTGTCCAACATCATGGGTTTAGTAACCACTCTAATCTTTAATGGCTAACTGCAGTAAAGTTAATTAACTTCTCTGATCCCCAGTATCAAAATTTGTGAAAAATGGATTAAAATATGTATTTTCCAAGACCGTTGGAAGCAATAAACCAGAAAGTGTTTTTAAACTAATAACTAATCCTTAGTACTTTAGGTTTTTGCCATCTATTAATTAATGTTGAATAAATATTGACTTTTAATAATGAACATATTTATTTATTATATTAGAAATTTTTGCGTAAGCTAATTACATAGAGTTGATTATTATATGCTCCCCCCACAGGTTGGAATAGATTAGATAAGAAGTAAGGGTGCATAACATATTTTATGAAGACAGCTAGAAGATGACAAGTTTCACATGTTTAAGGAAAAAAAGATGAAAAAAATCTACCCTGACAATTAATTTTAGAAAGAAATTTTCAATAGCTTTTTTGGTATTGACTGGAAAATTGCAGTGGGAAAACAATTGAGACAAAAATTTCAATGAAATGAAAGTTTTTATAAGGATTTATAAAAGAACAAACTAATCAAAAACAGACTCACAAATATGGTGGATAATTTGGTGACGGAGAGAGGGGAGGGAAGTTGTGGGGCTGGGAGAATGGGGTGAAGGGTTAAAGAAGGACAAATTAGTAGTTGATAGATGGTCATGGAGGTGGGGAACATGGCATAGGGAATGCAGTTAGCATTAGTATAATGGCTAAGTGGAGGATCAAGAGAGGGAGAGAGCAATTGGGGAGATTGTTTTATGAACTCTATAGATGTCTAACCAAAGTACTGTATACTTGAAGCTAATTAAGATAAATAAATTTTTAAAAATAAAAATGAAGGATTTTGCAGCATAATAAGGTCAAGATTCTAAGCTAAATAAATCGAGATCTGCAAATTTTAAAAAGTCAAAGGAGAAACTTTAAGGAAAACATTTTCAGTGTTATGATTGGGTAGGAATGAGATAAGAAAAATGGAAATAGAAAAGGAAATGGAACTTTGGTCCATAAGTGCAATGATAATATGTATATCAAGAGAAAACTGGAGTCATAATGACTTCTTTAAAGTACAAATTATTTGTGTACTGTGTTGTTTTCTGAAAGAATATTAAAACGTCAACACGTACTAAAGACAGCCTGTCCAGGGCATAATAAATGAAGATATGCAACAAAAAAGATGGTTATTTGAACTTCAGCTTACTTTTAGGTCTTGCATTTTTGTAGAAGTGCTCGAAAAAGTAGCTGGAAAGTAATATAAAAATTATGTTATAGATGGTTTGATTAAGATTTTGTTATTGAATTTAAATTCTTCCAAGTTATCAGCCATCACTTATTTGGACTCATCTTGTTAGTTTTAACTTTTTTTCTGAGTTGAATACACTATTTTATATATTAGATTCTTGAATATGCAATGATGTGCTTCATGGGTTAATTTTGGATGATTAACAATATTCAACATCAAAAGTTACAAAATTATGTGCTGAATTCGAAGGGAGTGTCTAGTAGATTTAAAATGTAGAAATAAAAGTATAGATTTGTTTAAGCTGATTTGTTTTCATTTCTATTTATAAAATCGGAAGTGAGTAATATGTATTTCAGATGACTAGGGAATATAACATCTGACAGGATTAGAGACCATTTTTCTTACAATTTTATTTTTATTGACATTATGTTTTATTTTATATCTATTGAGATTTTGTTTTATGTCAGCTTTTGCTTTTTGCTTTTTTCAGTAGAAAGAGCCAAAATATATTAGCCATATAACCT